GTGGGAGGTCCATGTGCGATTCGTACTGGTTCTCTTCCTACTGAGATTCAGATTTTGTTGCGCATTGTGTGCACGAATCTATGGTTAGTCTCTCACACTTCTTCATTACCGATGGAGAATGCTCGTTTTCTCTATGCCCTTCTGCATGGCGATTCCATTGACTTACCTTCCTTCATATGCCAGCAAATTTTGAGGCCTTTCGTACTATGGGGACGAGGGTTGGTGTAGCGTCCCGACCCGCATGGATTGAAACGTTACTAGACTAGCTTTACTTTAGTCGTAAACTTAATAATTTACGACACCTTTAGCGGAAAGTATAAAAATTTAATTTAAGAATTTAATTCAAGACTTATTTAATTCTAAACATCATTTCCATACTGGAACCAAATAAAAAAAATGTTTTTAGAATGATTTCCATGCATGTATCCATTTATTGACGTGAAATTCTAGGTAGAAAATAAAAATGAATGTTGCTGTTTCGCTTTCTATCTCAAACTGCAATAGTAAAAAATAAATTCGTTTGCATAGCTATCGACTCTTAAATTTCATGAAATTTTATAGTAAAATAGGAAACTCTTTATACTATGACCTATCCAAAAATAAACTTCCGTCAGCAACATATGATGTATAAAAATATTTTTCAAAACCTTCCAACGACACAGTTTGGAAGGTTACCCAGCACAGTTTAGTTAAAGTGATATATAAAATTCTACACATATCAAATCAACATGATTTCAACTTTATACAGTAACTAACCCATGAGGCTATCAAATTCCATTAGTTTTACCCAAAAATTTCAAGTAACGATCGAGTTACGAATTTTTAAATCCACGAGCAGAAGCTGGAAAACAGCAACACTACCCGTGTAGTTTACTCTAAGTGACATTTAAAGTTCTACCAACATCGGATTGATATGATTCCAAGTTTATTAAGTAGCTAACTTATGAGGATATCAAGTACCACTCGTTTTGTTGAAAAATTCCAAGTAACGATTAAGTTATGAATTTTTAAAGTCAAGGCGGAATCTGAAATTATAATGAAACAGCAACATTAAATTGCTAACACTTGGTTTTTTTTGTGAACGGTGATTTGCAAGCAAATTTTATGAAACTTATCTACCTTTGAACATAACTTATTCATAAAGAAATGTGCTTAGAATAGTTCCACATATGACATTTCATAGAAATCTATTTAAAATTATTTTAAACATTTCATAATCATATTTAAAATGTTAAATCACCAGATTCCCCATAGCATGTTGCATCATTGTTTACCATCATCCACGTCCCAAACAAATTATATCAAATCAATCTGTAGAGATGGAATTAACCCATGAGTTTGAAACTCAATAGATGTCATCGGTGCGTTTCGTCACAAATTAACATTTTCAAACTATAGATTCATATCATCGCATGTACTAGGATTTCCGGCAAAATCCAATTTATGTAGAGTTATGAATTAATATAACGCATAGAACCGGAGAATGATCATTCAAACTATAGCAGTAAACGAAACAAACATTTGCACCTCTACCTACCTTCGTTGAAAGCTTATGAAAGTATAATGTTGGATGATGGTTGTTGCTTCCCGACGGCACCGGAACTTCTAGAATTATGCTCCTCTCTTATTCTTTTGAAAATCTTTTTCTTTGATCAAAGTGTGCACTTTTTCCTTCACACTCTTGCTATTCTTTTAAATTTTACTTAACATAAAGATTCTTTATAGAGAAAATAAGAGTAATTTCGGATTTGAGGGGAGGTGTAGTTAAAAAATATTTTTCCTCTTCTTGTAACCTCCATTTTTAGTGGAAAACTAAATGGGAGAGTTATATTATCATTAATTTTGTTAAATTGAGTTTTTAACTAGGAATTTGAAGAGTTTTAAGTCCAAAAAAATTATTTTATAAAATACTTTATAAAAACATCTGCATGATGATTCGAACCTGGCCAATATGAAATACCATGTAGATGACCATTGAGGTAACTCAATTGTTCATTAAATCTTTGTAATCAAATTTACTTAAACTTAATGTCTTAAATTATTGGGCTTATAAATAACTTATGGCTTGTACTTTCATAACCTTAAATGGGCCGAGCTTCTATAATTTATTTCTTAAATGGACTACATCAACCAAATTAAGAATATAAAAGCTGGGACATTACAGTTGGGCTGCCCTATGCGTGTTTGATATGCCGTTTAGTGATAGCCTTAGGAGTCAGTTTTCCCGAGGGGGGTCCGGGTGGGTTTATCGGTCGATTGGCCACACTACCATTGCTCAGAGTAGGTCTCATGCTTTATTTGAGCCTGCACAGCCTGCTGACCTAACTGTGCTGGATTATCCTATCGATGACCTCATTTCCTTCAATCTCTCCAATTTTCCTTCTTTTTCGACTGCTCTTCAACCTTTCGATATCCTTTCTACTTCTACTTCGGCTCATCCTCTGTCTGAATCAGTTCTTCTTCTTTCTCCTCCAAAGTCTGTACCTTTTGCTTCTGCTCCTATCGACCATTCGGTTGCTCTTTTGGGACAGATGATCGTGCTGATCGAGCAGCAGGCTTGGATGATGGCAGAGATCACACAGCTGCGTGCTACAGGAGTTCGACTTACTGTTGAGGTCACTACACTTTGGGGGTACTTTTGGCTATGTTCAGCGTGGACTCCGATGGATTCAGCATCACTGGGATAACGATGCTGCTTCCGAGGAGAGGACGGATTCAAATGATGTTGTCAATGCTTCCTAGTTCTATGCTTACCCCTTGTCATTGTGTGATAAAAAGGGAGAGTAATAGTTATTTTATTTTTGGCAATACTTGTATTTTTGTTGATAGGGGGAGAGTAGATAGTAGTTATCTTGATTTTTTGTTGACGCTTCCACGATGTATCTGTTTATCGAAAATATGGATGTAATTAAATTTTTGATATATATAAAAATGATTTTTTTGAGTTTTGCATTGTATGTCTGATGGGTCGTTGAGGTGAGACATAGATACATTTACCTACTGCTTTAAATCATTGAAAGTTTACAGTAAGTGGGAGTATGTGCATATTTAACTTCAGTTTTGCTAAATTAAGTTTTTGATATTTTTATAGTGTCAATGTTTCGTTTTGGTATGTTGGGTTGCATTGATACTATATCTTAGTTTAGCTTGTAATATAAAACTGAGAAATATGCTTTATGAATTACAATTGCTTAAATGATTCTTACACTTAAACTGTTTGAACCGTATTTATTATTGACCCTGTTTTCCACACATTTTATACTGGATATTTGAGTTGTCTATTTCAGGAAACAGGTATTGAACCATGAAATGAAAATTTCGTTCAAAACAATTTTTAGTTTAAGCTTGAGTCATATTTTGAGTCTGTAATTTTAATTTAATTACTACATTGACTTAGATTGTAATTTTGTTACAGAATGCCAAATGGAGAGTTTTCTAGGTTTTAGATGTTTTGTAATTGGCGATTCTGTGAACAAAATGACCAAAATTGATATATTGTAAATGGTCAAGGATTAAAGTGCAAATAGTTGAAAATAAGGTTATTAAGTCTAAGATTTCAGAATGGCAAAAAGGAGGAAAATGGCGCGGATTTCGCTAGACTGTCACCAAGTTTTGTCTCGATCTATAAAAGCAGAAACATCGTCACTAAACTGTCGCCAAACCTTCGCTCGAGCAACAGGCTGTCGCTCGACCGTCGCTGAGCTCTCGCTCGAGCGACAGGGTTATACAGGAAATTTTTATTTTGCGATTTCAAGGCTTTTTCCCCGACCTATTCGTTTCTTGACCTACCTATATATACCAAACTCATTTGTATGAAATTCCTAACGTTGAACATCGAGAGAAAAAGTTTAGAGAGTGATTCCTCCACATTACATCTTTCAACCTTCATCTGTGTGAGAATTTTGGTGAGAAAAACATCAAATTCATAATCCAAATAACATACCGTTACTTTTTCCACGTGTCAGAGTTGCTGAAGATCATATGAAGGTGACTAAAGTTCTAGTTGATGAAGAACGGGTTGTTCTTTGTGATTCACAGGAGATAGACGATTCCACAAAACTAGAAGTTGCTGTAGGAGAGTTTTGGAAATTGCAGCTGGAATTGGTGTAGGGGAGCACAGAATTCAGGAGAGCTGTCGGAATTACACTCATGAGATCAGATCATATGTGTCGTCGTCTAATTTGGTAGGCTATAAGTTACGAATCGTTTATAGTGGATTGATTGGCTAAGTGCCTGAAGTTTTTCCCAGTTGGGTTTCTCCCTGGTTATACTGTTGTTCTTTACTCCTTTATTTATTATTTGTATGATCTGCAGTATTTAAACATAGGTAAAACGACATGCATGATTAACCATCTAGAAATAATTAATTGGTGACTTATTGCTTATTGATTAATATTTTTAACTCTGCATAAAATACATATTCACCCCCTTTTACGTATTGCTATAGTCGAACTAAGTGTTTTTCACAAACCTTACTGTAATCAGATTGATTTTAGGGACAATTTTGAAGAAGAGAAATTTGGATTTGGAAGAGAAATAAGAAGAGGGGTGTCGAGAAATGCCGAATGCTGGAGAATGAATTTGGATGTGGAGTCGTGGTTCATTCGAGGTTGGCAACATTATTTGCCACGTCAAATTTCTGCAAACTATGTGGTCTACTTTGAGATGAGAGTTAGAAGAGTTGCGAAAGAGTAGGTAACCCCCACTTAAAAGAGTTGTGAATAAGTAGGTAACCCATTAAATTTCGACATGGGAGGATTCAATAAATTTACCTGGCTGTAATAGGTAAAATACCCGGGACCAAAAAACTAGAACTCTTGGCTTGTGCGAGTGAGATCTTTCCCACTGAAACAAACATCCTTAATCTACTTTGCATTATGGAATCACTTCTCCTTGTCCCCTCTTCTTCTGCGAACCCGCTACAAAAATTCTTCTCTCATCCTCAAACCAAACTCTCCCTTTTTCCCATTTTAAAAATCAACCATAAACGCTCCGCCGTGATGCAGATTAGCACCACCGCCTCTGCCACCAAGGAGGCCAAGCTTTGGGGTGGAAGATTCGAGGAGAGCGTCACCGAAACCGTCGAAAAGTTTACCGAGTCAATCTCCTTCGACAAAGCCCTTTACAAGCATGACATAATGGGCAGTCGGGCCCACGCCTCCATGCTCGCTCGCCAGGTACTTGTAATAATGCTCACCTCATATATCTTGAAATTGAAATTACTACTCCTAGTATCAATGAATGATTTTTATTTATTTATTTATTTTGTTTCCTTTTTTTACATTTGGCATTCTTGTCGGTATTGTTACAGGGATTAATAAGCGAGAGTGATGCGGATAGCATTCTGAAAGGCCTTGATGAGATTGAGATGCTGATTGATAACGGAACTTTTGTGTGGAGAACGGATAGAGAGGATGTTCACATGAACATTGAGGCTGCTCTTACCGACTTAGTTGGCGAAGCTGCTAAGAAGTTACATACAGCCCGCAGTCGGAACGACCAAGTTTGCACTGACCTTCGTCTCTGGTGTCGTGATGCAATTGACAACATCCTTTCTCGAATCAAGCGTCTCCAGGTAGTATAATGTTCTTACGCAACTTTTCAATTGCATCAATTTTTTACAGTCCCAAGCCCCAAATATTTTTGTTGCTGATAATGAAGATGTTACCCGAAACAGAATGTGCAGAGTAGAACCGATCACATGTACAAAATTTATTCAATTTGAATAGAATATTCATTTAATTAAGTACTCTGCATTTGAGAAAGCAATACTCGTCAGTATACATTATCAGCACTACTGTGATAGGAATTGCCAGCTGCTAAGCTGCAGTTTCTTGTTAATGTCGAAAACCAATTTGTAATAGTTCAAATGGCTTTCTTCCTATTCTTAAACTTTTCTGAATCTGCAGGTTGCGCTAGTAATGCTGGCTATGAAGAATGAGGGACTGATAGTTCCTGGATATACTCATTTGCAAAGGGCTCAACCTGTTCTACTACAACATCTTCTTTTAGCATATGTTGAGCAGGTGACTTAATTTATGTGTGCTCTGGCATATGCAAAAAAGATTTATCTTCCTTTACTGGGAAAAAGGGTTTAGTTATCTTTTTCTGAGAGAGAGGGAGAGAGCAGCCGAAGGGTCTGTTAATTAAGTTTGATTACAGATTAGCAATTGCTAAGAAGTTCCTTACTCCTGAGCATCTGCAAACACTCAATATCAAATATTCTTTCTATATTTTTCAGAAATAAAATAAAATTTGTATGTTGATACACATCAGATGAAACAAATATAAGGATTGGCATGGTAAGGACTTCCGGCAAAAAAATAAGAGAAGTCGCAGAGATGAAAGAGTTTGCCTAGTTAACCTAAAAGAGTTAGATTTAAATTTATGGTACTTTCTAATTATTTAGTAATTAAAATTATTCAGAAACATAACAATCCTTGTTTATGTAGGATTGCACAAGATTTTGAGAAGAAGGAAATGATCTAACTAAAGGGAAGTCCAGAATATAGATAGCATCCTTGAAGTGAGATGAGGGAAAAAAAAAATCTTTAAGCCGAATTTTGTGTTCTAGATATTTTCCTGTATATACATATTAAGTATGTCATGGCAGATAACACAATTATTATGGAGAAAGAATCCTTTGTAGGAAATATTGTATTCTTTGCATATGTTTGGATGATGACATGGATTTCTATATTCTTGTGTTCTCTTCCTTAGTTCATCCACTGAATTTTGCTGTTCTCCAACCATCTTGCCATGATTTACTCCTTTATATTTTGTTTTCATAATTCTTTGGTGGGCTGAGAGGACTATGCAAGTTCAGTTGTGAGAGATGCTTTCATTTTCGGTTCAGCTATGCAGCTTACTTCTACTAACCACCAATTCAATGTTTTATTGTAGATTGAACGTGATGCTGGCCGTTTGGTAGACTGCCGGGTAAGAATTAATTTCTGCCCACTGGGCGCCTGTGCGTTAGCTGGAACTGGTCTGCCAATTGATAGGTTTATGACTTCTGATGCATTGGGATTCACTGCTCCCATGAGAAACAGGTATTTACTAAATTGTCTATGACAAATACAACTTCCTAGAGTGTGAATTATTGTTTATTGTAAATTTTTCCATTTGACGCACCATTCATTATTTAGTTTAGCTTCTCTTCATATGAAATTTTCACTTTCTTTCCATTTGCTTGGCTGTGATGAACACAACATGTAAACTCTCATAAACTGTAGTCCCCTAGTTCTCCAGTGACACTACCTATCGTCTGGACTCCTTCAGCAGTCCTTTCTTCTGTTTCAACAAGCTTATTTCATGTGTCATCATATTGGCACTAGCCTGCTGCTTAAAACAGAGATCATGTTCTGAACTTTGGCCCTCTTGCAACATTGTAAACTACATACATGTTTATGTGTATCCTGCTAAATAGATTTCTTGTAACTGAGCTTGATTGGAACTCAACACAATGTTGTATTGTGTCTCTCAAAGGGGCATATAAATGGTACCTCTAGTTGGTTCCAGTCATCTACACACCACTTGCCTATTAAAACAAATGTAGTTCACAAGTTGTAACCAAGAACTTAAAAACTGAATATGTCATTTCTGATGCTTGCTTTCCAGCTGAAAGCCTGAAGCATTGCTCCAATGTGCACAGAAGTTGAGCCATTCACATGGGTTAAGCAAATTATATCATTAGAGTGCTTATGCAGAGGTTGATTCCCAGGTTGATATGATGGATGCCCCCCCCCAAGCGGGGGTTGACTACCTCTCCTGAGCTTGAAAGGGTTCTTGCTGCTGTAGCCAAACATATTTCCAACCTTTCCTTTCATCCCCCTAAGATTTACGGAAAAATCCCTTTCTTGTCCAATCTTTTAGTGAGATTTCCTGCCCTTTGCTGCCTTATTGTAGATCTGGAAGAGTTTCATTGTTTGGCTAGAAAGAGTAACTTGTTTTGAAACCTCAAAAATCTTATTTGAGGTGGAAGTCATATGAATCAACTTCTAAATAATGTCTTGATATTTTTGGCAGCTCAATTAACTTTAGTAATATTAAATACCCAATTCAGTAATTTATACCAGCATGTTTGACTAAGCATAAAAATAAGGAAAAAATACTTTTAAGAACTATGTAAGCATGTTTTAAAGTTACTTTTTCTTCCTTTAAGTAAAATATTTACTTCTTTCCAATATCTATCAAGAGCAAAATATTTATTTCAATAATTATATACTTGAAACTTTTTAAGTTTAGCCAAACATGCTCATAAATATAAAATTCACTAAAATACTATTTGAATTTCTTTTAAAGTAAAAAAAGTTAAATTGGTTAAGAGATGTAGCTTCTTGATATTTGGGAAAACTATCAAACAAGAAAAGGAGGTAATAATTATGTATTATTTTATATCATATTATGATCACGAGATAGTTATTTAGTTATTTTGGCAATTAGGTTTATTTCTTGCATCCATTTGAATTTTTTTATGCCATTTAGTTGTTTTATTTTTTGCCAGTTTTTTCCCTTCACAATAGAGAATCTACGGCATGATAGAAAACACTGCATAATGCGTATTTTTCACTCATCAAAGATGTCTACAAAATGCCATTTATATCAGGCTCATAAAATTGTCAATGATTGAAGGGTTAGGAAAATCATTTTGACATTAGTTTGAGACCTCAGCTTATAATTCTGGGTCAGGCACTAGCTGGTTTTATACCGTTACTCTTGAGTTTAGTTAATCTTTGAGAGTTTTTGTGCACTGACTTTTGGGTTCTTGTTTCAAACCTGACGCTGTGCCAAAATTCCATCCTCTATTAGTCTTTGCTTACAGGATATATTTGGTTTTATCACAGTGGTGAATCGTAACTCAAGTGGAGATGTCATATGATATTTTGTATTTGAGGGAGCATAGGATTGTGTCAAAAGGGCTGAGCAAATTTGCTCATGATGTTTAAAATTGGAAGCATGATATTTGGGCTTCTTTTGCATATTTATAATGTTATGACACTAAAATGATTGTAATTATCCATCCATCACTTCAAGACCTTAAGATTAATTTTGGTTAAATTATTCCACCACATGAAAGTCTAACGGGATATAGGAGACAAAATAATCATTTTGATTTGCTTGGTTTTGTATTCTCTGTTACTAGTTCCATTAGCCCAAGTAAATATGAGTGGAATTTTAGAATTAGTCCAATTCTCAGAAGTTAAGCAACTAAAAGAGACGATTTTGAATGTCTAGTGGCAGCAAATATCTTTTATATTCCACTGGTATATCAAGTTTCAAGAGTATTGGCATTTATGGTCCATGTTATTTTGTATTGCATCTTTTACCGTGTTTATTTCTTGTCCACAATGAGTACTGTGGCTTTATCACGTAATTGGTTAGATCAGTATTTGAAATAACATTGATGCACTTTTGGATGGAGGTTTTATTTTGGAATTCAATTTTTATACTTTCTTTTTTATTTATCGAGCATTTGGCTTCCTCAACTGATTTGTGACAACATTATATGCAAAATAGCATTGATGCAGTTTCAGATCGAGATTTTGTTTTGGAGTTACTTTCTGCAAATTCCATCACGGCAATCCATCTCTCTCGGCTTGGTGAAGAATGGGTATTGTGGGCTTCAGAAGAATTTGGGTTTCTCAATCCTAGTGACTCTGTTTCAACTGGAAGCAGTATAATGCCACAGAAGAAGAACCCAGACCCAATGGAACTTGTTCGAGGGAAATCTGCCAGAGTTGTGGGAGACTTGGTTTCACTTCTTGTATTGTGCAAGGGGCTTCCTCAGGCATACAACCGAGATTTACAGGTAAGCGATTCCGTCCATTTCCATTTAAAATTTTTCCTAGTAGACTTAATGATCCTATATTTCATCTAAAAGCTTGAAATTTCCTCCTCAAACAGGAAGACAAGGAGCCTGTATTTGACAGCGTTAAGACAATATTGGGAATGCTTGAAGTGTCAGCAGAATTTGCACAAAACGTCACTTTTAACTGGGAAAGAATAAAGAGTGCTCTACCTGCTGGTCATCTTGATGCCACAACGCTTGCTGACTACCTTGTCAAGAAGGTATATTATGTCTCTCGATTCCTTGTTTCCTTTTTCAAAAAACAAATGACATTTTCCACTGTAGTGGGATCCCTCTATGGATTGAAATTATTGTTCATTTGAGTCCTTTTTTTAAAGTTAAATGCTAGTGACAAAATGGTGTATTGAGTGCAGGGAATGGCATTCAGAACTTCTCATGATATAGTTGGCAGGTCTGTTGCCTTGTGTGTTACCAGTAACTGCCAACTTCAGGAGCTGAGTCTCGATGAGTTGAGAAGTATAAGTCCAGTGTTTGATGAGGATGTATACGAGTTTCTTGGAGTCGAAAATTCAGTAAAAAAGTTCAGTTCATATGGCTCCACTGGTTCAGAATGCGTTTCAGATCAACTTAACTACTGGGTCGCTAAACTTGGCATTAATGGATAAAGAGAGTGCAAGTGTGGTTTTCTATCATGGAACTTTGATGGAAACTCTTTTACTCAATTTTCAAGTGTTAGACTTGGCCCCCATAAAAAAAAAAACATTTATCTATCTCGATTGGTGGAAGTTCAACAAACGATGAATTACATGTAATATGTATGATTGGAATTTTTTTGGGCTCACCTTTCTATCCTTGAGAAGTTTGAATGATTTCATTTGTTATTGAAATGAAGGTAGAAAGAGTTGAATTTAAATAGAAAATGTTGAGAAAAATTTAGGGTACACAGCTCTAAACTTACCATTATTGGACCTCAACAAGTAAACAAATTACTTGTATTATACCCACAATAAAAGACACTACAACACTTTTCAAAGACCACTCACAATTTGAAGAAAAAAACAAACACTCAAAAGAAAGATCACAACTCACACTCAAGACTCCACACTTAAACTAAGAATACAAAGACTTATTTTTGGAGGATGCCTAAACCAAATGCAAGGGAGGGTATTTATAGTCCTCCCCATGCAATATACACCATACAAATACTAAATTGAGAAATAGTCCTAACCATATATTAATACCACATTCTACACACTTCTCCTAAAAAATCTCATATTTACATGGGAAAATTACCTTGAAACCTACAATTAAAAACTAATTATCATAAATCAGGTGGATTAGTTTAAAATTCATATATCAGGTGATGATTAGATTTTAAAAATTATAATTAATAAAAATTTAATTAAACATAATCTATTCCACCATTACCCGTCCCGATCAATTTCATTTTCAAACTTTCTCACTCTCCTCCTTCTCTATTCCTTCTCTCTCACTCTCATCTTCCTCGCAGCAGTGGCGTGATTTTCTGGACCAAATTCAGATCATTGGGCTGTAAATTGGAGTTGACCCATTGCTGGGCTAGGTGTGCCATGAGGTGGGGAAGACGACCCAGGTAGTCGGCGACCGTGGGTCGACCGGACTGTACCGAAATCAACATTTTTTGGACTTGCCTGTTGCGGGTTCGCGACTGCGATAATTTCTGTGGCAACTCAGATTTATGGAAGGCTATTTGGGATAAATTATGGCATGGTTGTGGGCAGTCGGCCGGAGGAGGACCGCAATCGTGGTGGTGGCTGGAATGTGCGATTCTTCTGTTGGCCACAGAAATTAAGTGGTGGTGGCCGGAATGTGTGAATTTTCTATTGGCCAGTAGTGTTTAGTGTTGGCTGGGTTCGGTTGAGGTTAGGCGCGGTGGTGTGTGGTGCTATGTTTGGTGGTTGGGTGCAGTGGTGTTTTGGATATGGTTTTTCCGGTGCAGCGACGAAGTTTGAATTTGGTGGCACGGGATGAGATTTTGCCCAAATATGTGACCGTTTGTGACCGGTTGTGACCATTTGTGATATGTTTGTGACAGTTTGTGACCGATTAATTGTGAATCTTTNAAAGAGTAGAGAGAGAGAATGATTTGAATTTGAAATTTAATAAATTGGGATAATTGTATTATATTATAATTCAAAATATTTAATAAATTGATTTAACACCTGATTTTTGAAAAGACTTTTGAAATTTGTTATTTACGAAAAGTGATCTTTAAAACAAAGAATTATGTATTGTTCCCTTTTTACATCCTCCTACAATTTTCTTTTAAAAATAGCTTCCTTCCACATTTGTTGAGAATCTTTCATTGTCTTGGGTTTATATAAATGTATTGGGCCTTGTAATGGGCTGGGGTTGATCTTCAACAGAAAATGTCCAAATTGGATGGAAACAAAACAAAACACAATTAATAGAATCTTAAAAGTGAGATGGATAGGGTAAGAATAAAAAGGCTAGTGCAATGGGCAACCGTGGACAGCTACTCCTTTGGCAGTAGGACATGTATCTAAACCAGAATGCTCTCCACCTGCACCCCACCAAGATATGCTTACGTTCTCTATTTTGAGGCTGAAGTACAAAACAACTCCCATGAATGCTAGTCCAGCATCCAATGCTGCTGATAGAATGTAATTGTACCTCTGCTACCAATTTTTCCTGTATCAAAATACAAAGAAAAGTATTGCCCCGATAAGAATCCGGCTAGTGAAGTTCAAAATTGAAGCCAGAGGCATTGCAGCTTTTGCTCTAAGAAGTAGGTATATTAATTAGCTTTATCCATTGTTTACTCGGAAATACTTTGTATAGTAGCCACACGATAATAGGGGCTAAGGCACCCCCAAGAAAACACCAGTTAAGCGTACTAAAATTCCTAAGAGATCCAAATATACGCTTTGGTCCAACCAAACCCCAAATGACAGATGCATCGTAGAATATACGGTCACCAGGTCACGTCTGTGGACTATTCGGGAGAAGTAACTGATCCTTGCATATGTTGCTGATGGGGAAGTAAATGATCCTCACATATGTTGCTGATGCTCGTTAGCAGCCACCAAACCACCCCATTGTTGATTGTTCCAGCAATAATCGTCCCAAATAACTGAACTATGAACATTGATCTTGATGGAACTGTAATAGCCTAGCTTAAAATCATTCAAAAAGGAAACTGCCTGACTCATGCTCATATATTCACAACACCACAAGTTTTGTAACTCTTGAAAATCATTCTACGCATCAAAGTTTTTCATACCTAACACTTGAGTTTCATTCATTGATATCTATTAAAGTGTTAGCCTATTTCTCTCTTGGTACTTAATTGATATCATATCATTTATTAAGAAAGAAATTTCAATTTGTAAATTCAATTCTCTTTAAACTTGTAGGTGGTGTTGAGGTCCCGTAAAGTTCAACGTTGTATAATGATCGATGCTCATTGTTTGTAAGTCACCAAAAGCTTTGTAAATGGTTGGATTGTACCACAAGTCAATCAACATAGTGAAATTGGTCTTGCTCGCGCTGGAAAGCTTGGCAACGGAGTACATAGATCATTATGTTGGATCGAACATCCATAATTATATTGTTTGCATTCTCTATCCCTCTTTACTTATTACTTTTATATCCGTGCTTACTATTTGAATTAATCTATATAATTATTACGTGCTTGATTTTAGGTTAATTTTGCAAAAAAGTTTTAAAAACCAATTTACCCCATCTTGGTTAGCTATTCTTGAGATATCAGATTCAAGCGCCAAGAACGATATAAACATTCTCTTTCCTGCCCTTAAACTTTTGTTGTAGCACATGAATTAAATTGATATTGCCAAATATTGCAGAAGTTGATGGATTAATTGAATAGAGAACTTAAGCCTAATTAACATGTTCCCATAGAAAATTGGACAATCAATAATTTCAAACAATGGTGAACCCACAAGAGACTGAGCACAACATTGATATTTAGTTTTTGGACAGAAATATCAACTTGTAAGTGGCACTTTTGGTATAGTAATTAAATATTGACAATAAATCCTGTCAAACATTAAGTCTATCTTTGGATCAACTCAATGTTCACATAATGAAAATTTTTACAATTGTCAGATATTTATCACCATATGTGTGTAAATAATTCGGTCAAATATTAACTTTCATTTGTGTCGGTCAACACCATCATGAATTACATACATACAACCTTCCTAATATTCCAAATAAAGTAATGAGAAGTGCTATATGTACACAATATTTTGCACAATGTTTCATACTTCCCTCACATGGAGGGGGGCCCACACACAATAAAATATTTGTGGGCCCCTCTCCATGTCAGGAATGTGTGAAACTATGTGTACACTACAAGGTGTACACATAGACTAATTCTAAAGTAATTAGGCAAAAGAGGTTACTTTGGTACATATTGCTTCAATTAATCTATTTTAGAAAATTAGTAATTCAAAATTAATTTTAGTTCCAGGATTTGAAATTTGATTGCCCCCTTAATCTTTTAATTTTTTTTCTTTCTTTTGTTTTCACAAAAATAATAATAACAGCAATTCAGCGCTGCAGCGCCCAGAAGCTTAATTTAACAATCTATTTTAGTTAAATCTTTCCCAAAATCCAAAATTCAGGGATAAAATTCACGTCCCAAAATTAAAAAATCCAAAACATGAATTTTAAACATAAAATTCTTTCTTTAATCTCAATGGTTTAGCATGGAGTTGGCTCTGATACCACTTGTTAATCTTTATGAAATTTTAAACTTTATAAAACTAGAAAACCTAATTACTTTATTGTCAAGAACATCTATGTCAAATCATCAAGAAAATTAATAATGTGAAACATACCTTAATTCTTTGAGAATAATTTCTTATTACTGGATCTTGATTCCGAATTTTGAATCTTAATTATTGACTCTTTTGGTTCTTGAATTCTTGATCTTGATTTTTGCTTCTTGTACCATAATGTTGATTGTCTTACTCTTCAATTTAATTGCTACAATCATTGTTCTTAATTCTTGATTGTAGGTTTCTTGATCTTTATCTTCAATATCTTTTCTCTATTAATTCTTATGTTGATGGGATGATACAAAAAATGAAAAAATAGCATATCAATTGGAGACCATAACCCTATTTATAGTTTCCATATGTATTTGGCACATCGTCAAATATAACCCTAATGGATCCGGTCTCTACACATATAATTCAGCCCACACTTCATTTAGATACCATAAGCCCAACAATTTAATTATTTACTAGATAACTTTAATTGAGCTCAACTTTAAGATAATCTTATGCACAATTAATTACATATGCAGGCCCACATGACAAAGTAATAAAGAGAAAATTTCATAACTAAAAGTTTAAGTTTAACCCATTTCAAATTTAAGAAACTAAGTTTAAAATTTCAAATCTAAGATTTTTTTTTAATTTTATTTATAAATTAATTAATTAAATATATTTTGGTCACAAATTCCATATAATTTGTCACATATTATTAATTAGTCACAAATCACAATTTTTATATGTCACAAATTATTTTACAGTCACAATACAAAAATTTTATAGGTCACAATTTGTTCATCAATCACAAATCAAAAATTTATACATCACAATTTATTCATCGGTCACAAATCTATCAATTTAAT